GTAGATTAGCCCTGAGCTAACATCTGTGCCCATCTTGCTCTACTTTGTATATGGGATGCTGCCACAGCATGGCTCGATGAGCCCTGCATAGGGCTGCACCTGGAACCTGCTAACACCGGGCTGCCAAAGCAGAGCATGCAAACTTAACTGCTACACCACTGGGTCGGCCCCCTTGTCATTCTTTACAATGCTTGAAAAAAGTTACACTTTCTTGACGACTGTAACTTATTTTACTAAGTCCCTACTGAATACATAAATCACTTCCAACTCTTTCCTATTTCAAACAATACTATAAAGAACACCCATGACACATATCTTTGCCTGCATGAGCAAATTTAGCTGTAGGATAAATTCTTACAACCAGAATTGCTGAGTCAAGGGGCAAATGAATTTTTGTGGCAAATGAATTTTTGTGTGTGTGTGTGAGGAAGGTCAGCCCTGTGCTAACATCTGCCAATCCTCCTCTTTTTTTGCTGAGGAAGACTGGCCCTGGGCTAACGTCCATGCCCATCTTCCTCCACTTTATATGGGACACCGCCACAGCATAGCTTGCCAAGGCGTGAGTCGGTGCGCGCCCGGGATCTGAACCGGCAAACCCCGGGCCGCCGCAGCAGAGCGCGCGCACTTAACCACTTGCACCACCAGGCCGGCCCCGAGGGGCAAATGAATTTTAAGTTCTGATATATATTGCCAAAAATTTTTCCAACACACAGCCATCCCACCAACAGCATATGAAAGGGCCTGTCTTGTCTACTTTACTCCACGAATATTTTAGTTTTCATTTACTCATGAACTTCAGCATAAAGAAAATGGAATACATTATTTGTATTAAATATAACAAAGAATAATGTTCCTTATAATGGACAAAACCTGTGAAGAGGGTTTGAAACTGTCTCAGCATGTTAATATATCACATTTAGCTCTCTTAAGCAATACCAAGTTAGGAACTCAGACTCTGAATTCAGACACTTCTGAGATCAAATTCTTATTCTAGTTTTGAGACTTGGGACACTTAAATACTTTCAGCCTCCTCGTCTATAGAAAAGAGATAAAAATATTCCTTATTTCACAGTGTTTCTGAGATGTTTACATGAGATATAGTCCATAACATATAGTTAGCACAGTATCTGAACATGGAAAGCATTCAACAAATATTAGCTGTTATTTTCTTTGTAAACTTCTAGTAGAGATGGTAAATTTTTAAGATTAGTAAATGGTGATTTTTATGTGTTTCTCTGCAAGTCAGAATTGCTGCTAGGAGACTGTGAAAAATTAAAGTTACCTCTGAAATTTAGAGAGCAGATGAATTCCCACAAAAAGAAGAGTATCTTTTCTTGTCATGATTCTGAATTGGAAAGTTATGATAGCCTTTTTAGAATACTGTCTTTGATTTCATATACTAAAGCTAAATATATATCAAAAAAGAATTATGTGTTCTTGACTCTAAAATGTTGGGATGTTGAACAACTGGCTGAAGAGCCATATTCAGATAAAGATCATTTAAACATTAAACAACTATCACAGTCTTTGTCTCTATTAAGGTAATATGAAGAGTCAACCAAGCAGCACTGTTGGAAGAAAAAAAGTTACTCTTGTAATACTTCAATAAAGATGCAGTAAGTAAAGTTCCTATTACCGGACTCATCACCTTCCCTCCCCCACAATACTCCCAACACTTTTCAGCTGGTTTCAGTTCAGACTTCTAGCCCCAATGTAAACATCATCTCCTCTGTAAAGCCTTAGACCCTCATTACTAAGACAGGTCTTACAGTAGGATTCTATGCTTCCTATCATAACTCATATCATCATTTATTGCAATGACTTGTATTAACGCCTGTCTTTTCTTCTGAATCAATAAGACTAGTGAAGTAAGAACTGCATTGGTCCTGATCATCACAGTATTCCCAGGGTCTAGAACAGTGTCTACTCTATGGCATATATTCAATACACTGAATGTGTGTTGCTGAATGAATATGTGAATGAACATTATTCAACTTTCCTTTGACAAACATTTGTTGTTCCTTATATAACACAGAGGCGTTCCCAGCATTCAGGATATAGAAATCAATACGCAGCAATTTTGCAGCCCAAGAAGTTCACAAATGAAAGTCAACTAACACTGTGATATAATCTAAGCAGGGCTCAGGTAGAGAACTGTACAGAGCACTGAGGAACAGAGAAGGACCTACCTCTGCCTGAGGTGTCAGAGGACACATGAAGAAATGTTCTAGGTAAAGGCAACATGTTCCAGCTACTGACAAAGATAGCTTCTTTATAGAAGTTAGCCAGTTCACTGCCAAATTGACTTGTGTCAGGAGAAAATGGCTATATTGCTAATTAAATAGAAAAAAAGGTTCAACAAATTTCCTTTCTATCTAGAATATTAGCATCTGTGCTTTAGAAAGTCTACACTTTGCAAGTCTATTGTTTTTGAAATGTAACTCCCAATCTTTCTTATAATAATTTTACTTTGAAGTTTAATAAATAGGAAATTTCACTTTTAAAACACATACAAATAAAAAACTACTTTTTTCCTTCAAGAAAGCCTACTCCATACATAA